TTTAAAAAAAAAATAGTGGATATCAAAATTGCATGACAATGTCAATTTGAAAGAGATTCCGGCAAAAAAAATCCTATATTTTATAAAAAGAACGTGTTTTTCATGAATTTAAGTTGTCTATGCTCTAACCTGTGTGTGACGTGATAGCGGGTTACGCCCATGCATTGAAAACCATGGATCTATGCCACAGGACTGCCTTTTCTCTCTTCTCTCCACTGGTGCCCAACACAATACTGCACTCTACAGGTGACAATTGCTCACTACACATAAATTGCCGTTTTGAGAGTGAAAAAGTGTCCGAGGTGGGATTTGAACCCAAGTATCTAGATTGGCAGTCCATCGACACAACCACTGGAAAAGATACATTCTTGTAGTTATCTTAGGTGTACACGGCCTTGTCATCTTGAATATCCGCGAAAAAAGAACGAATACAAAATTGTAAACAACTTACAGCGTTGAAACGTACCCGTTCTGATGTCACCAAGGGCTGTGAAGTTTTTTCGTTTCTAAGGGCGTTGCTATGGGGTTATTTCGATTTGGGGGGATCAGACAAAAAAACAACTGATTTTGAAACCTTTAGTAGTTCTCTTCTAATATAAAATGGTATTAAAACTGTATTTCTAAATAAATCAAACCCGTCATAAGGTCTTTAAGTTCTACTTCTGTAATTTCCACATCTACCTGCCATAACCCATTTGCTTTAATAAGCCACCATAATTCATTTTCTTTTTGAAATAACCACCCCTCTGGTCAAGCACACACATCACACAACCAGAACTTTCTCTGATTGGTGGAGACAACAGAAAACTGATTGGCAACACAAGTGTAGATTTTCCATTGCAGTTTCCAGGGATGAACACTGGAAGGATGTGACCTCTGAACAGTTTCTGGAAAGTTTACTGTATGAAGTAATGCTGCTTAGTCCATTGGAACTGGAGCGGTCTGTACTGGTCCTGAATACTGTGGTCTCCACTGCAAACTACAAATATAGGTTCTTTGTGTATACACTCAACGTATACGCTTTAGACCCAAACCACTGTCATTGTGTCATATCTGGTCAAGATTGGTTCAGCGTTGCGTCCGAGTTCATATGGATCTTGTAAACTGCTGGTCCTTTGGTTGTTTGAGTGAAAGATGGCAGTTCCTTATTCTGTTTTTTGGTTTTCTATGCAACATTAGGCATATTTTGTGCCTAAAGAAAAAAACTATAATCTAAGAGGTCTTGGACATTTTACACTTCCCAAATTTCGATCTACCCGTAAAAGTTTCTGTGTGACTGTGTGTGGTGTCAAACTGTGGAATACTTTGGATCCTCAATTAATGCAATCCCAAGATATTCACAGATTTAAGACATTATATAAAAACAATGTCTGGTCCGAATACAGAGAGATTATGACTTGAATGTATTTCTCTTCTTTTCCCTCGACTCATGTTGGCATGTACTTGTTCTTGTTAATACATTTTGGAGTATGTTTCCTTACCATTGCTGGTATTTGCTGTTCATTACCATTGTTGGTATTTCTTTTTTTAAATTGTTTTTGCATGTAGTTTATTTTTTATTTTTGTATTATTATTTTTTACACTTGTCCTTGATGACATTTTCAATAACTCATTTTGCTTATGAACAATATGTTTAAGATTTTGATATCTGTGCTAAATTTACGTTGGAGCTAAAACCGGAGCCTTTACTTTACTTTACCCTTGTAATGACTGAAGTAATTAGGGGTGGGATTAAATAAGTGTTCACTTCTTCCCACTCCTTTTCGAGCATCCATAAGTTTTATGTTAGTATCACTCACTCTTTTTGTTATTACTCCTTTGTTATATTTTGTACATGTACCTTAGTATCACTCACTCTTTTTGTTATTACTCCTTTGTTATATTTTGTACATGTACCTAAGTTGCTTGAACTAATTATTTCTATGCCCGCTTACTTGCTCGGAATGAATAAATAAAAAAAAAAAAAAAAAAACATTAAGCTTTTCATCTCTATGGCTATTTTATAAGATATTATTCTATGTATATGGATTACATTGTTGTAAATATGGATTTCATATTAACCTCTTTGTCATCACTGCAATGAAATGTATGATTTGTTTTCAATGCTGCAACAATGGAAACGGTGTGATGTTCTCAGGAAATGGGCCTATAGAAACGAAGAATAACAAACAGTCACTGGTTTGTGTACATCTATAGAGAGTTCTTGCACAAACACTAAACCCTGACGCCAACTCCAGACCCTGCGGAGCATCTAGGCAGGAAGTCGCATCACAGCAGACGAATCAAAACAGGAAGAGGCCGCACGACTGATGCAGCATTTACACATGTTATGGGGGTCGAGTTGTAAAGTGTGACGTAAAGAAAAAAATTAAGTACAATAAAATGAATGCCCCTTTTTCTTCAAAAAAACTTTATTAAAATTGAATATTATAGAATGTGTTTTTATTTTGGCCTGACATGATGTATTTATTCAATTTACATTAACCTAACATTGATTTACATTAACTTTTTTTAGAACAAATCATCTGTCTGTATGAAATAGGCAGCGATAAGATGGACTCAAAAAGTCTACTTTTAAATTAATCCATCGATCCATGTCCTTCCGCTTCATCCGTTGCCGGGTCGCGGGGGCAGCTGTCTAAGCAGTCTAAGACCCCAAGGCGTTCCCAGGCCAGCTGAGAGACATAGTCCCTCCAGCGTGTCCTGCGTCTTCCCTGGGGTCTTCTCCCGGTGGGAGGCGTCCAGGAGGCATCCTGAACAGATGCCCGAGCCACCTCAACTGGTTCCTCTCGATGTGGAGAAGCATCGGCTCTACTCTGAGCTCCTCCCGTGTGATTGAGCTCCTCACCCTATCTCTAAGGGAGCGCCTTCACCATGATGGTCTGATACAGCGATCGCCTCACTGCGCACGCATTTAAAAGTACTTTTAAATTGTAACCTCAAACCATTTAATACCACTTTTAAATGTTTTAAAAAGGTAGAAAAAATCCCTCCAGAGATTTGTTTATTAGTAACAGAGGATAGTTTCTGCGTGGGAGGGATCAATCAGCCAAAATATCATAAATCAATCAATCTACACATTTTACATATTTACCTCATTCAATACAAAAACCTTTGTGGATTATTAATAAAATGTGTTTTGCCTTGAAAATATAACAAGCTAACAAAAAAAAATTGCCATGCGTTAGTGAGCATAAAAGATCTGGGAGTAATTATTTCCCAACTTCAACGTCATTCATTCAAATGACGATTTTAAAGCAACCCCGCAGTGAAGAGTGGAAACAAAGCTTCCCCCTTAAATCCTTTTTGCGTGTGAGCTCCTTCTCATCGGCGAATCCCTTTAATTGTTGGTTTGGAAAACGTAAACAAGCCGCATTTGATCAAAACCCTGGTGCAGTTCACAGAGGCGATAATAAGCACTGAATAATCCCCAATTCAAAACAGGCTATTAGTGCAATGGAAGTGTGTGGGACCCGCACTCTCAAATTTGTCCCAAGTGAAGCCACCTGCAAAAAGGTCTTTTATCTACCTACAAGGGACGAAAGATCTTTTTATTTTTATTTGCGCACTGATTATGCGGTTACTATGGCCTTATTCTGATGGTTTGTGGATCTTTGTTGTACAACTTTGATCGAATTTCCATACAGAAAACTCACAACAAACCATTTTGGATTAGGATATGGATCTGTAAATTAGTATTTCACAATAAAGGCAAGGGTAGATCAGCAGCAGATTGTGTTGTTGTCAAAGAATTTGAACCAGTTATAGGTTAGTGGGTAATTTCCAGATCAGACCAGTGTTTTCTTGCCAAGCTCGTAAAATGCTGTACAGAAGTCTGGTCAGTAGGAATTTTTTATGTTTTTTATTTTTTTACAGTTTCTCAACAAAGCAAAACCACTCTATACCACATAATTTCTTCCAGTCATTGAATACTTTCTAAAACAACTTCAAGTTCAGGGTTTATCTTCAGCCACTTAAATCAAATCTAGATGGTTCTTTTTCCAAATGTTATTGGCTGAGTAAGCTTCAACAAATCAAATTAGCTTGGAAAGTTTTCAGGTTTCACAAGTGTGAGTTGGTTTACATGAGTCAGCGAGCATGGGGAGCAGTGAGGAGAGGGAAGAGACTGTAGGCTGATTATGATCAATACCAAAGGAACTGGCAGTTTGTTGCAGATTATACTGTATATTCTTTTCCCATTATTTCAAATATGTCTCAAAATAAAAATAAATCATTTCTTTGAGAAAACACTGAAAATCATCTTTGGGTAAGGACGGACAAGGACTACAAGCAGTTGAAATCAATTGGTTCCGTAAATTTGTAGGGTTCCTCGGAGATCGGGTGAAGATCTTGGTCAAATGGGAGCTTAGAGTAGAACTGCTGATTCTCCACATAAATGGTACCAGGGGCACCATGCAGACAATAGATAAAGTAGAAGAACATATAAGATGTCCAGTATTGGTTGTGAGTTTGTGTAACATAACCTGCCACAATGATGTAAGTATTTTACTATAGTGACCTATATCACACATCAAAGTGTCTTCAGTCAGGCTTAACATTTGCAAGGTTGGCTACAAAGTCAGTCAGTGAGATCAAAGAACTCATTGAGGAAAACAATAATGGACTCATATGTTGAATCTTGTCCTTCCAGTGCTGTCAGCCCACAGCCTAAAGGAGAGTTAGAGGAGTGCAGAGAGGTGCAGAGGGGAGAGAGAATGGGAGTGGATAAGAGTTTCTTTGGGGTGGGGCTTGTTGATGCTCGGCGTGTGCGTTCAAGTCTACCCTCCCATTCCTCTGCCACTGTAAACTGAGTGAACTTGCCTCAATCCTCCTCAGATCCTTTCACTCTTATTCATCAACTTTTTAAGACCACAAAGCAGGAGCACTTCAGACGTGGACTAACCCTGTGGACATTTCTACATATTGGACCTGAGAGATATCGATCAGTTATTTCTGTGAGGGCACAGAGCTTGACCTGACCGCCAGAGAACTCTTAATATATGGTACGTACACAATGCAAAGCTTACCCCGGATTGTGGCTTCAAGGCAGTTTTATTAAAAGAAAATATACAGTAGGTGGGATACAGTCAGCAGGTTTGTGTGTGCGTTATTGCTGAGAGTATAGTGTTGCATTAGACTTCACAAGATGCTCTGGTCTGGACATGTTTGATGTTGGAACTTTCATAACGCACATGTTGTCGGATTATTTAGAACTTTAAGGTGGTTCTTGGTGCGAATCTCAGAAAAGTTGTTTTGTTGAAATAAAAGTTTTAATTTTGATACCATTTATTTTACATGGTAATACGCTGGATTGGTTTGAATTTTGGTTAAGTCAAGTGTGAGTAGGTTGAAGTGAAATATTCTACCTATACCAATCAAAAAGTTTTATTTAACAGTATCATAAAGTATTGGTTTTATAAGCACATAAACAAAAGTGAAATAGGCCAAATAAAAGGGAACCGTCCCATTAACATACACACATACTGTACTCACGTGGCTCTTTCAATTGAATGAAGACAATGTGTAACAAAATTGTTTTTGTCTAAAGGGGAAAACAGCACTTTCCATTGTTTAAAAAACACATTACAATAGTTGTGTATGCCAGCTGTGATTTTTTTCAATCGCCTGTATACAGTTATCTCCCTGTTTTTTATGACGTCACAATCTATGATCTCATGAACTCAACATATAAATTCAGAGGTCGTGTTTGAACAGGTGTGTAAGTGCCGTCTGTGGATTTGTCATGGAGCAGAGCGTGTGATTCTTTCTACTTTGACTTCCTCCTTTTTTGGTTTCGCCTCATGGATCCTCACTTCTTTTGCCCCGGAGCGATGCATTAGACGTGGGCTTAAGTTGCGTCACTGGCTTCTCTCTTCAGTCGGGATACATGGCTCTCAAACAGGAACAGCTGCTGGTGAGTGCTGCCTGCATCTTTTGGAGTTTTAGAAATGATACTTTGAGATCAGAATGGTTTTGAATTGCGTTGTTTACTCCTGAACTTTGACAGTTATCTAAATGGTGTTACTTAAGGTGTTATTTGTCTGGAAGTGGAACTGTTCTAACCATGTGGCATGAATCATGTGCGTTTCTTTTATTCATATTGAAATGCATCCATTAGAGCTACTGACTATAGAACTCAGACCTGGACCTTAATCAAGACATATAGAAACACGTTTTACATCAATCACCCAAATATCAATAGTTGGGATTAGGGACCATTTTTGTAACCAATATTTTGTATGCATTTCCAATCCATTCCATTATTTCCTAGTTATTCTTTTAATTTTTTAATGGGATCAAATATCAATAGCTAAATTTGCTAATAAACAATGCTTACAGCTGTTTCTTTTGTGAAGAACTTAAAAGCCAATTATTGTAAAATAAAAATAAAAATATATTGGAGCTGAAGTTGTCTGAATGATTGTGTATTTTCTCAATGCTGTTTTTTAGAAGTTCTAAGCTTCAAATATATGCGTATATTTTGTCATGTTTATTTTAACTAACTTTAATGAAGAAACAACAGTGACATTTTAGCTAAGTCCTGATGTCTTGTGAGACTTTAAAATTGGACAAATTAGCTTACAGTTGATATATCAGAGTGACGCTCGTTTTTAGGGATACACCACATACATTACACTATTGGTAGTATCAAATATTTATGTCATTTTGGTTTAGACGATGTAATGAGACTAATTACTGGCAAATATCGAAAGCCGAAGTATCAGCTGGACCAGTGCATTTCTAATCAATATTGAAATGATTGAATAACAAATGACCAAAAATATGTAAGGAGGAAGACCATTTGTTAACGTCAACCATTATGTTAACGTCAAGTAATTTCATGGTTTGGTTTTACAGTGTGGATGTGTCGACTGAAGTGTGAAAGGTGCAGTGCCGTTTATATGAGGTTGTTGGGGTTGTTGGGGTTTAAGAAGCTGCTGTTTTGTTCTGGACGCTGTGACAGGGGCATGTGTCAGCACCGTGTCATGTAAATACTGGTCTGGACTTTTCCGCTCACTCACCCACAACTTGGACACTTCACAAAAGAGTAAAAGGGGAAAAAAACTCAGATTTGAGAACGAGGGGGTAATATTTATCTTGGGAAAATAGCGCAGTGTGTTGAAACAGACATGACTGTGGAATGCAATAAAGGCAAGATTATTTTTGGGAGAAAATCTAATTGCATCTGTCTGAAAAGCTTTGCAAATAGTTGGTTCATTTTCTTGATGCTTTTTTTTTTTTTTTTTTTAAGTTACAATTATAATTTGAAATGGAAGAATTTGGTTTGGCGGACAACGACTGTCAAATATTTAATGGAAAGAATACATTGAACTGCTTATCTGATAAGTTGTTTCGAGTTGTCTAAAAAGTCCCTACAGCTTGTGTTTCTTATTTTTAATCATTATTATTATTATTACATAAAATAATCATACAATAAAAGACTTCTTGAATGAAGGTCTTTTTGTAGAAAAGTTGTGTTATTAGAATCAACAGCAGTTTGAGTGGGCAGAGTGGTCTATGGTTTGAATACTTTGTTATGATTTTATAATTGTTAACTTAAAGGTGGATCCCCGAAACTCCCAAAAGTCAGTCTAAGTTCCATTAATTATAAAATCTGCTGAAAATTATCAGTGTTTGTTCACACTGACAAAGAGTCACATTGACAAAGTGTACATGTGGATATTGACTGATGAGCCAGTCCACGTACATGTTTGTGTAACGACAGATAACACCTGTAAATGATTTCTGTAAGTCCTAGAAATGCTGGGAAAGTGCAGACCTCCATTGTGCGAAAGTGGATTTTATTTGTTGGGACCAATTATCTCATTAGATGGACTCTTCTTCTTGGCAAAAATTCTTTATCTAAGGACAGAGGATGCTTTGAAGGACTTTTCATTTAGCTTAATTCCTGTAATCCATGGTTAGTTTGTTAATCTCTATTGAAAAGTAGCAATGGAAATGTTGTTTGTAAAAGGAACAATTTTGTGACAGAACTGGTCCCAGTCCATAACACCTGGTTCTTGCACCTTTTCAAATGGCCAGATAAAACGGTTTTGGACATGAGGTGGGAACGAGGCTTGATCCTTAAAGGTACCCAACCCCAACCACAATGTAATAAAATCCTTCCAACTAGTTCCTAGTTCTCAAAATTTGGTCATATCACTAGTTTTCACATTTTCACATTTATTGTTGGCCTTTGACACCTCTTTAGATCACCTTTTTAAGACAGAAAAATGAAAAAAGAGAGGTTGACCTTCACTCAGCCAATTGGCTCAAATAGTGACATCACACATTTTTCACAAAATTATACTTTCATTATTTAGAAAACAAAACTGTTAGTTTTCCAGCTCTAAGCGTTTTCTGTTGCCAATTTATTTTCTTACACAAACACAGGTCCAGAACACAATCCAATTGAATTTTTTTTGTATAGCCCTAAATCATAACAGCAGTCGTCTCGGAGGATTTACAAAGTTGTAGCATTGATCAAGCAAAGGTTTAGCCAACAGTTCAGAGAATCGACTGTTTAAATAAATAATATAAAAAGTACTGTATATTTAATAAATGCTATTCTGCTCCAGAGATCAATAGTACTTAAGTGTAAATGGGGTTGTGCTGTGGATTATTCTATATAGAGAATCTCAATAAATGTCTTAAAGTGATTGGAAAATCTCTGCTATAAAGGCCCATCACTTGTCACTGCTCACAGGAGGCTTATGTAAAGCCCACTCTTAAATAATCAAACTGTAAAATGCTGACAAATGAGTAAATGACTAAATATTATTTTTAGTATGTTATTTTTAGTCCAGCATTCCATTGGGTTTCAAAAACATTCAACTCACCGTCTCCTCAGTGCAGTGGTGAAATCTGGGAACATTGTGATATTATTGCAAACACATTGACTGACGTTGCACAAATATGACTCACTATAAGTCAGCCCAACAAGGATTTCTTATCTAAAATATAAATATGGACTAAACTGGGTGTATATATGGAAAGTAATGTGCTAGGATTTTATCTAACCATATGAGACTAGGATGCCACAAGTCAGGAGTAGTAAGCAAACAATTAAGCATTATTGTTATTATTATTAACAAACATTAAAACATGTATTTAAAACAATGGTGCAATGATATTGTAATTATACAAGTTCAGTCTGTAACTTTACTTGACTCAGTTCGAAAAAAGACATTTACTAAAGACTTATTATGCTAAAGATAGAGATTTTATTCTGCTTCTTTTTATGCTAGAGTTAGAGTTAATTATTTTATTTTAGTATAGTTATTATTAATTTATCTTTTGCTGTGTGCTCCTCATTTCTACTGTTCTGTAACTTGTAATGCAACACTGAAATTTCCCCACTATGGGATGAATAAAAGATCTCTTATTCTTAATTCAGCGGCCAGTCAGCAGGACTCACTAGGGTTACATTTTCATCAGCAAACTAAACTGCAGTTTGTGATTGATTGTTTAATTAAATTATGTATATTATTTTGCTTGTACATTATATGTTACAGTCACAAAACTCAAAGGCTTATGACAAACATGCTTGGATTTGAATAAGTGTGTATTGACAGAATTCACATTTCACATAATTCTGTTCAGTTTTGGTATAACCTAAATGAAATGTTGCTCTTGTATCGGGGAATTGTGCAGGACTTTGATCTAATCTCTCTGTTCATAAAGGTAAATTAACTAGATCTTGACCTGAATGTGATGCTTTTATTCAATATACATTCATAAATTTCAACTACTTTTCATTCCACCTGATCTGCTTGTGAGTGTTGGGAAGAGTCTGTGGTTTCTGTCAAATAAGACACACATTGACCGGCCTATTGACTCAGCTGTGTCTGCACTGTAATGACGCACACACAGGTTAAAAGTCCATGGATAAAACTAGGAGACAGTCAATGATGCGTCCTCATTTTGTCTCCCTGATGATGATCGCTTTAATGCTTATATACAAGATGAGTAGTTGCGTCTAATGTCTGAATTTGACGCCGTT